CATAGGGATTAGGGATTAATTCATATAAAACCTACAGAAGACACTAATGCTGTCAATGAACATTCCATGTGACCAAGGTACATGTAAGTTGATGTTAAAAGAGTGGTGTTATGTCATGGGAACAGTCACGGTTGCGGGGCATTTGTGTTTGTAAACACACCTGACTTGTTTTTATTTGGTTGCATATAGCTCGAGTTAACTTGAGTAACTCCAGCTCCAATGCTTATTTATCGCATTAAATTAGAGCTGGAGGCAGAACTACGTAAAAAAAAAACTAGATCGTAAGAAGCCCCAAAATCCGGGACCGTGTATCCCCAGTGTTGCAAAAATGGTCTATTTTCCCTTTATTATCCCAACCAAGATTATTTAATCCATATCTCATGCAGTGAAACGCCACTATAAACAAATGTATAGTATTAGCCTTGAACGTGGCATTGTATAACGAACACCACCATAACAAACATTATTTGACTATAACAAATAATCCCCATGGGCTCCCAAAATAGTAAATTTTATTATAGTTAATGCAAAGTCAATATAACCATGCTATAACGAACAACCACTATAACGAATACTGTCTGTTGACTCCACCATGTTTGTTATAGCGGCGTTTCACTGTTAGTAACTCCAGCTCCAATGCTTATTGCAATTAGAGCTGGAGGCACAACTACATGTACGTTAAAAAATCTAGATTGTAAGAGGCCGAAAATCCAGGACCGTATATTGTATTCCAGTGTATTCCAAAATATTCCATTTTCCCTCTATTAATCTAGAGATGCCACTTTTTAGGTTTTAACCTGAATTCAGAGTTTTTTTTTTTTAAATGAGACAAATTTAAAAATGTTGAATTTGGTCTGAAACATCTAGAAAACACATTTTTGAAAGGGGGTAAGGGTAGTTTCAGTTTTTCCAGTAATGTTTCAGGCTGATTATCCCAACTCAAATTCCATAATCCATACCAAATACCATGCAGCAGTCATTCATGAAGCTAATAATCGACTTCAAACTGAAAAAAAAAGAGTAAAAACATTTATTTCACTGACAAATTTTCCATTTGACTTGATCATCCATCCTTGCACTATTTCATGCCGAAGTATTATAGACTCTGATTTTGTTACCAACAGACTTTGAATGATGTTATTTGACCCCTGAAAATTGGGAATCAGCCAAAGCAGTCCTGTATGGCGGTCGTGTGGAAAGGATGCAACCGTGTGGGATGGCCGTCACTACAAGCAGTCACTTCTCGGTAAGCCCAACGTGATCATTTATTAAGTTGCCCCATTCATGGGGAGGGGGGGGGTAGACTTTCTTAGAGGGAGGGGAGATGGGGCAACTAGAACCAACTTTTCAGCCCTTTTCACACTAGAGCCTCTCAACCTGGGTTGAACTCAACCCTGGGTGAACCCAGTGCCGCCCTGGGTTGAGTTTTTTATTTCAACCCCGTGTTCAACCCCACATCATTTCACACTTGTTTCATGCAAATCAAGCTTGTCATGCTCAGGTACTACTGTTTTGAACCCTGGCCAGAATTTCAACCTGGGTTGAAAATCTCAACCCTGGTCTGGAGCAGAGTTGAGTTCAACCCGGGGCGAAATCAATCTCGGGGTTGACACATGGTTGAAATTCTTTAAGAGTGAAACGATACATGTTTTCAACCCTATGTACGTCAACCCCGAGATATGTATAGTGTGAAAAGGGCTTCACTTTAATAGAGAGAAGCCATCGTCGCAAGCCTACTTCTGGACCCCTTTCCCGCAAGACTCATGAAAATCCACTTTGTTCACCAAGCTAGCTGGCATGTTTAGAATAAAGAATAACTACACGTGTATGTGTTTTGAACTCATTACAAGTGTCCCCAAATAGGGTAAAGTCACAGAGTTTTGTGGGTGTCCTTAAACTTAGCAATATGCCTTCAGAAGCTACGAATGTGGATACAATTAGGACATCATGTTTGTCCTTGTTCACCCATCCTATCAAGATGGTAAAAAGAGAAAACAGGTCACGATGAAGCCATTTTTGGTGAGAGCAGTGGCCCAAAACATTATTTTATCTGTTTCCACAAATTTAGCATCAGAAATTACAGTTGTTTGAGCTGGAAGGCACAAATACCAGCTGTGCAAGTCAAAGTTTCAGATGTCCTAAGGTTAAGTTCAACAAAGTAATATTTAAAAGATTAGTCACAAAATGTTGCTAATAAATGTCCTTATCCCAGTGACTAAAAAGGATGAATGCATTTATTTCTGCTCATTTCAAAACCTCATAATTTACCAGTAAATTTGAATAGATTTATTACAGTAGAGTTTGAAAAGTCTCATGAAAATTAATAATTCTTTGTTGAAACTCGAAACTGCAGTGACGGGGATAATTGTTTTCATTAATTTCAAGTTGAAATGGCAACCAAATAGGTACAACAATGAAAACAGAGGTCTGGAATTTAATTCTTGAAAATGCAAGGAAATTTCAAGGAGGCAGTCAGGCAAAAAGCAAGGCAACGGAGGCCATAGCATCCTGAAATTCCATACCATTTATTTGAACATTTGTTAAAATGATTGGCAACCTTCACACTTAAAGAATGTTTAACCTTCAAAGAAATAATCAACTTTCATAGTCATGTGTATGCTTAAAGGTACATTGTGCATAGGATCATTTGCTTTTTGCAAGATTTTTTTCCAAAGCAACAAAAGTGCCCAATATTTTTAGTAGGTTGCATAATAAGCATTCTGTTCAAGTCTTAGCTGAGTGGCTACTATACATTTTGGAGAAAACAGAGAAAACATAATGCACAAGTCTTTGCATCTCGTAACTGGATTCTGTAAGCACCCCATTTTGAAACCACCTTCAATGTTGTTTTCTGACAATACCATTTCAGGTGCAATTATTTCACAGGGTATTTGTTACCAGTCCAATCTTCACTTTGAGGTTTCCGTCATTAAATCTTTATGTGTTTATCTGAGTAATTGCAAATGATCTCACCTGGCTTTTAAAGTGAAGTTAACAGAAATACAGAATAATTGATATTCTACAGGCTGTAATTTCCATTATCAGAAAATGTCATGTAGAGATCGCACAGTATACAGTGAGCAGATGTATGTTCTATTAGGAACAAATTGAAGAATATACATAAAGGGAGTTTACAAAGTCTTGTTGGGACTACTAAGATCTATACAGTGGTGAATTGTTAAACACTTAAAAGTCTTCTTGAACATTTAATTTTTACAATAAGATTGATAGTTTGCAAAAAAAATTCATAATTTTTGGCTGAAACGCAAACTGAAGTGATGATTTTTTTTTCATTTTGAAACTGCAACCAAATAAACAATGAAAACAGAGGTTTGAAATTAAATTCTTGAAAAGACGAGGAAATCTTTTTGGTTTGTAAGGAAAAAACCGGGAATAGAATTTCGCTATTTGTGGGGACCTTTTTAAGGTGGCAGTCAGGCCAAAATCAAGGCAACTGAGGCCGTATAGCTTTCTGAAATTCAGCATGAGTCGAATTGATTTTTAAGCATTCAAACTGAAGGGATATTTGACAGTCTGAGAAAAAATGTCAACAAAATTTCAAATCAAGATAAAAAAATTCTTATAAAAATGAGTCTTAATTCTGTGAATTGAGACAGGAAAGCAACTTAATTTTCACTCATCTTTAGCAAACATTTCAATAAGTAAATTATCTTCAATTTACATGTAAGCGTATCGTTAATTCAAATGCGTAAACAGAAACTGCAAAAAGTAATGTCAAAACTGAGTAAATAAAGGCTTACATTGAAGAGTAATCTGAGTACTAACTATCATGGTGATGCGTATGCTTAAAATGAATTCAAACAATACTATTTCACAAAATACTTGTAGTATGGTTACATCTCAAGGATGAAGTGGTTGTAAAACTGTCTCAAAATTTCTATTGTCAAAAGTACAATATATAATGGACTACACGTACATGTAGATTTCATTAGGAAAACATTTCAGAATCTCAGGGAGTTTACGTAATCTTGGCTTTGTCTCCAGCTTTGGCTTCTACTATGCAGATTGCAGAGCCCATGATGAGGTCAAGATATAAACCTCATTAACAATGTCAACACAATTCTCCATTCTGTGAATGAAGATCTGAAACCACATTAATAGAATGAGCTTTGTCACTAATCTTTAGGATACATTTGGACAAGTCAATTTACTTGGAAGAGTAGTGTGTTATTTATTAAATAGGCAGATGCCAACAGCAAAGAAAAGGAACAAAAATTTAACTGAGTGAATAAAGGCTTATCTTGAACACTAATCCTAACACCAAATTGAACTGAGTAATGCATTTGTAAAGTTGTAATTACTCAAAATAAATTTTAAGAATGTTGCATCTCAAGAACGAAATGATCCTAAACATTTCTCAAGTCTTTGTTATGAAAGATAGCAGAATATATATACAGCAAGTTCCACCAGGAACAATTTAACAATCTCAATTGTGTTTATGAAATCTTGGCTTCGTCCCTGGCTTTGGCCCCAGGCTGCATGATTTTTGTCCCCTGATGTAACTCCAGTACACTATTGGTCCATTTTCTTCTTTAGAGACACCGTATCCTGTCACACAAGGCCAATGGATGGTTGGTGTATTTTCACTGAGTTTGAATGTGGTAGGATTCTTAGGAATCTAGTGCCAGAGATGAAGCTGAAGCCACAACGAAGCCGGGGTTTCATAAACATCACAAAGAGTTGGTAAGTATTAGATAGATTTATGGTGATCCATGTACTGGGTGAGGGAGGGGTGTTGGGTTGAGGAGGCGGGGGTCATTACATTCAAACACCTCAACACCCACTAAACTCCCCTCTCCTTTCAAATTAATCAAAATTAAAACAAATTGTCCCCCAATCAAATCAAATGTAACTGTAGTCAATACACTGTTTATATAAGACTTTGTATAGTAACATAATGTAATTGATGCATTGTTTATTTAAGAATTTGTATGGTAAAATGGTTCACATCAGAGGGATCTGGCAGTTTGGAATGTTGCTTGTGGTGATGGTGATGTAATGACTGGGCAATTTCATCCTCAACATTTGCTGTTGGGATGATGATGATTGCTAGTCAATGTCATGTTGGATTACATCACACCTTGTGATACATCTGGATTGAGTGTCCGTTAGCCACTGCCAGCTGGCCACCTGATGTGAACGTGATTCCACATTGGTTATACAGACCCTGAGCTAGGCAATCAAGAAACCTGCCATCTAGGTCATAGTGGTGAATATGACCAGTGTCATCATCACCACCTTGGTACACTACAAGGTAGATGCCTGAGCTGTCACAGCATACACCACGGCAGTACTCCACTGGCTCACCATTAATGGTTGGCCGGATGGTGGCATTTGTTTTACCTTTGCTATCACTAACGTCTACTTTCCCTGTGTTATATCCACTGACCACAACTCTTTCAGTGTCGTCATCCACAGCCAGGTAGTAAGGTGGAGTCTGCACTGGTATGGTGTGTAGGATCTCACCATCAGTGGGTCTGTGTTCAGTCCACACCATTCTCTTGATATCACCCACTACGATTGTACATGTACTATTTTTTATGGCTAGACTCTGTAGGTCCATTTCTGTCTTGTCTACCTGATGCTTGGGCACCGTTGGGAACTGCATAACAAGAGTGTTGTCTTTCATGTTGAACACCTTGACATACTTGCTTCCATCCAACACAAGCAAGCGTTGCTCAGGATTGTGGATGGCTGCAACTGCCAGTGGACCTGTGGGTAAAGAATAACTCAAATGTAACATATGCACAGAATATAAATGCACTGTCACTATTCTGAGTCCTCATGAAATATAAATACCTATTATGATAACCTACCTATAACAATGAATACATGGTGTGCCTTAAAACCCGGTCATGTAGAATAAATAGGCCTACATGAACATTGTGCAGTCTTCAACCACCATACATGTATAATTGTGAATAACTGCAACGTCTTGGAGATACAGTTTTGCAAAGTCTTTTATAAAGTTAATGCGCTCTCTGTGCTATTCTAATTGTTCAAACATCAAAATATATTAGTCTTATATTTAACCGTGTTGCCATTTCTTTCGCAATAAAAAGGTTGCTCAATTTTCAAATGAACCATTGAACAACAAAGACCCCATTTTTAGACAACAAATAATTGAAAACTGTTTAATAACAACTCAGTTCTTGTATGTAGTTACATGTATGTTAGCAATTACCAAGGTTCAGCGATACGGTTCCTGAAACTCAATTAATATTGGTTATTATTAAAATAATTGTTAAACTCACAGTTTGCACGTAAACATTTTTTTATTTGCTTTGTTTTTTTTTTTGGCAAATTTGTTTCATTGAGACATTGAATAGCTAAATTTTATAACATTCTCTACATAAAAACATCCTAAAACATACCGCTATTTCGCAAAACATATCGTTCATGGCCAAAAAGTGGCACAATTGCTTCACCAAGGTTTACAACGCCCACCTCGAGTCAACATGTAAATTAAAGCTATAGTCCATCATTTGCAGCCATCCGAAAAGTAACTGGCGTAATTATTGTTGAAAAACGTACTTGGTTGAAAGATAGTAAGGGGACTAAACTCCCTGTGAAATTATTCTTTCTGGCAAGCTGTCATTTTGAAGTAATCAACGAAAGAAGGCCTTTCCAACGGTGCGTCTTAAGACGCACCGTAGGAAAATTTAAATTAGTAGTTCGTTTTGTTATTCGGCGAAGCGCGCGCAAGCATTGGCACGACGCACAGGTGCGCGCGGTTGCTATAATTCGTCGGATCAGTGCACGACATCGCGTATAGCTGCATTCGGCTCAGTGAGAATGCGTCTCGGACGCTGAATTCAGGCCCAATCCAAACCATGATTCAGCAACTTTTGATTTGAATTGAGATCCTAGAATGCTGTTTTTCTCGGAATATACCGCTGAAGCTGAGCTGAAACTTCATCAGGCTAGTTGTTCAGTATCCTTCATCAGATTTTGAACACTTTTGTTGCTTCAAACAAACAAAATGCACAAAATACAAATGATGGACTATATCTTTAAGTGAAACAATCCATTGGTCTTTAAAAAACGAAAAAATAACCTTTTACACACACTACAGCCTGTCTAAAAAAAATGGTACAATCGAAAACAATTTTTTGTTCAATATTAAATCTCAACATAAGTAAGTCGTTTTGAGCATCACATTCAAGAAAAAAGAAAGACCAGGCTTTCCAATACTTTTTGTTTCATTTCATTTGCTTAAATTGTGAATCCAGAGATAACTCCAGTTTACTGCGGATCACAAAATCGAGTTTGTTTCTTTTGCCAAGTTGCAATCTTTTGTGAGCTTCAAGACAGCATGGCACAGTACTCGAAACAACTCTGCCCATGCATAAAAGTGGCACATTGAAATCGATTTTGGTGTATCGCACTAAATTGATTATATCTCTGAATTGACAAAACAAATAAGATCAAACAAACACTATTGGAAAGCCCAGTCTTTGTTCTTTAATATTATGCCAAGTAAGAATGACTTATGCCTTAGGATTTTGAAATTTCATATTTAACTAATTTTTTTTCCGATTGTACCATTTTTTTTGAGACAGGCCTTAGATGATTACGTTATGTAGGGCAGTAAGATGCCTACATTGTAAATAACAAGACACAATAATGTAAAGATCACTAATGAATCACTGGTAACTGTACAACCTAATATATTGGTCTTCAGTTAAAAAACGACATAACAACCTTTTACACACACTAAATACTTACGTTATGTGGGGCAGTAAGATGCTTAGTAAGGACAAAAAAAATACTCGGTCTCTGGTCAGCGCGCGCGTCGATTTTAATCATGCACGTCAACCTTTTTTTTTTTTCAAATTAACACGGAAGCTACAACAGTGCCCTCTATTGCCACACCTCCTCAAATTTTTGTTACAAGGAGCACCAAGGAATGGGAAAATTGCACCAAGGCAAATGATGAAGGGCACTTAGGCAAATTATGGAGGACACCAATGTATAATAAGGACACAAAAAAGCAAAATAGTACCCACCTTGTCTGTACAATTCAAGCTTAAAAAAAAAAAGCCACCAAAAACCCCCAAAAAACGCGTCGCAGCATCAATTCCGGAACTTCGGTCTGACCATTTGGCCTAACGTTAAGATCACTTATGAATTATATCTGGTAACTGTACAACTAAATCTATTGGTCTTTAAAAAAACGATATAATAACCTTTTACACACGCTAAATACTGACGTTATGTAGAGCAGTAAGATGCTTAGGTAAATAACAAGATACAATAACGTGTAGATCACTAATGAATTACTTCCGTTTATGATTAATAAAAATCACGTTATAAAAACGCGAACATTTGGTTTAAAAACTACCAAACCAAAAATTCACCAAAAACTCTCTCCCCAAAACAGGTTGTTACGAACCCACTTAATCTGTAACCCTTTAGTACGGTTGCTCCCGCACTAAAATTTTCGGTATTTAATGAATGTTTCTTATGGTGGCTACGCGCGGGTAAATACCCTATATAAGCACTGACTGGCTTTTATTCGGTCTCAGTTGGTGCCCATGTACAACCATGTGCGATTTTCATTAGCGCGTCGTTGAGCCAGCATCTCCCGCCGTCCTTCCGATCTACGTACCCCTCATCGCTGGATCGTGGCCGAGGCTGACGGTACTACCGGACGGAGACCTGGACTGTCGTGGCCTGCTTGATGTGGCTGAATTCTCGGTGCTCAACGCTGACTTACCTGTGGTTTGGCTGATCTACGGCTGGGTGCGAAGATGCTTGGTTCGACGGCTGCCCTAATACCGTTGTGGGCACTGGCTTGGCGGGGCCTGTTCCTGCTACTGGTTCCTTTGGTAATTGTATTCGGCCGAGTACAATTTGCCTTTTTTGTGTGTTTTGCTTATTAACTCTATTTTGCCGGCTTGTTCTTTACTGTATTTTGCTTGTTTGTATAAATTGCTGCTTTGCTAATTTCTTTGTAATTTATTTTTGCTTTGCCTGTGTCTAATGCTTGGAGGTTCTTGCATGACGTTTTAAAGTTGAAGACTAACTGAGAATGTTTGTATCACCCACTGTCCTGTTAATTAATTTGGGAGAATTAATTAAATTTTGTTAATCATATAGTGGTCTCATTTTTGCCTTTGATTCAAAAGTCATGATTCCCGTTTTTATTACCGGTACTTATTTCTTTCTGCCGTGCATTCCCCGCACGTAACAAGGTTCTTTTCCGGTGTTTTGTTTACTGGGTAGAACATTCTACTCACACGGCATATAAGTTTGTTTGCAAAGCAACTTCACACTTTTCTAAAGGTTACAGACCCCAAAATAAAAACAGTTTTTCTTCCAAATAAACTGAAATCAGTAATGAAATAAATAGAAGGTTTGTTGTAGTTTTTTGTGTATGTGTGTGTGTCAGAGTGTGATTTTTTTTAAACATAGGCCTACACGTAAAGAAAAAATATTGAAGTTTTGTCGGGAGAATAAAATCAAATTTGTCAGAGAGCACTGTCAGCACATCAATTCCTTGCCAGTAGTTTATTGTTTTTTCATTCTCAGTTGTCAGATCTGCATGTGCACATGGAAGACTGACTTATAATTTCCACACAATTATGAACGTTTGTGTTGATGAACATGTACATGAAAGAAACTTACCTTGTACGCGAATGGTTCCCTTGTGTTGTCCCTCATTGCTGCAGATGACCACTCGGTTGTTGAAACAGTCTGCCACAGCAATCTCACCAGGTTGAGTAGCAGTAACACTTTGAGCCCAATTGAACTCTCCTGGACCACGTCCCTCTGTACCAAACTCACGACACATCTCCCACTGTCTTAACTCCAGCTTGCCCAGATTGATGTCACAAATCCTCTGACCCGGGGTGAAGCTCAGATATGAAAGCTTGGGATCAATCTGGGGAGGATTTTGACTCTTGAGTGATTTCAAGTCTTTGCTGACGATAGGGTATAGGGACAGAAAGTCACTGTCTGATGCAGTGTTAATGATATCCTGGGATCTCCCTAGCAAATGTTTTTTACTTTCTAGCATCATTGTCAGTGTTGACTGATGCTCATCATATGTTCTGTTGCGATCCTGCTGGAGTTGTTTGATTTCTGCAATCATCTTAGTCTCTTGAGTTGTTATCTCAGCTCTCTTTTTATCCGCTTTGTCTTGCACAGCTTTCACAGTCTTTGTGACGTTCTGTGTAAACTTCTGCTTAGCTTGTGATGAAGTGGCCACAGATTGTTCAAGTCTTTTGATGTCTTTCGTGAAATCTGGAAACATATCTTTCAGTGACTGTTTGTATTTGCGAGAAGCCTCTCCAGACTCAATGTAGTGATGCTTTGGTTTACAGTGGCTTACTACAGTACAAACTCGGCAGATTAACTCTTCACATGTCTCACAATAAAACCATTTCACTTCCCCCATGTGTTTCTGGCATTTAGACTCATCTTCTTCGGGCGTTTTTTTCACTGAACTAACCACCTTTTCTTGGAGTGAGACCTCCTCAACTATTCCCATCAAATGGAAATTTGTTTTCAGGCCTTGAATGTGTGTCTCTGGAAGTGCTGTCTCCCGTCGACAAACAGGGCAAGGAATTGTTTGTTGACCTGCATACCTGCTGGTGTAGTATTTCTCCAGACATTTCTGGCAGAAGCTATGCATGCAATCCAGCACCTTGGGCTGTTTATATTTGTCTGCGCATATGTCGCATTCAAGATGGGGACCGATGTTTTTTAGAGCTGTAGCCATTTTATCTGTATACAAAGAGTATTTAAAAAGAAATTGAAATGGTTATAATACAGAGATGTAACTTCTTTAATACTGTACTGTCTGTGTGAGTTCATCCGGGCAAAAAAACCCCAAAATTTTATTTTCATCTGTTATTTTGTATTTACATGTATCCACTTCTGAACAAGACATCATTTTTTTTTAAATTCCTGTCAAATTTTGAAGAGCTCTGATGTTTTGAAGAGCTCTGGTACGTGTACGGTAGCTTGTGCCCTGATCTGGTCATTACTAAATATACATGCAAGTTTTGTTATTAAATATAGGTTTTGTTGGAACATTGTTTAAGGCAAATTGTGATTCCTACACTTGTACCGGTAAGCTAGCATTTAACCTCATTCAAAATAACTGACACTCTTTTTTACCTTTTTTTTAATTTCAACCAAATCAATTGAAGACAAAGTGGTTCGCGTTTGTTGTTACAAATGCACTGGAGTGGTCGGGCAGACATTTTTTTTCAATAAACACTGCCGTGTTAAGTTATGAATATGTTTATGTAAGAACAAAGGATCACGAAATTAAATCCTGTCAGGTACAATCAATTATTTTGTGGTAAAATTCAGTAAACATTCAATGTACACAAGTTATTTCTGGCTTGATGACGTCATTATTCAAAAACAGGAAGTGAATACTGATTTAGTTCGGAGTGGATAAATGTTCATTGTGAAGTTTGATGACGTATGAAAGTATGGAAAATATACGTGTATTTATTCATAACAACTAACTTCCGGTTTGATGACGTCACAGTATTTGGCAGCAAAAACTGAACATTGTAAAGGATATCGTAACTTGGGCTACGAAGATATACAACATGAATCGGATTTTAGAACTTATGGTCGTTTTCAAATTCTCACAGAAGTAACTTTCGTTCTGATGACGTCATGAATTTGAAACCTTGCCAAGTTATTTTTGGTTAATCAAAGAATATCAAGGCGCGATTTGGTAAGATTTGAACGGATGGTTTTTAAATTAGAAAGAGCAAACACTGTATTATGTGTCGCTAGGGGGCGCCCTTTCAAAAGATGACGTCATCACATTTTTTTTTGTCTGGCATTCCTCACTAAACAATTTCATAATTTACATGTATATGTGTGTTGTAAAATGCTTCCGCTTTTGAATTACATTCAGTTTTCATTGCACTTCCGGTAATACCGGAAGTGAAGGTCAGGCGGTTTTGTGTTTGGGAACAAGAAATGTTTCTCACGGCATAGTCTACAACCTCACGAAAAAACGAACACGATACTCTATTTAGTTCAAAAGATATAGCGCAAACTATTTTGTCAAAATTTGCCCTGAAATCGCTTGTAATTTGATCCCTGATGACGTCATGGTGACGTAACAAAATTTAAAACATCTTCGTAGCATGGTACAAGTTCACATTAGGTTTCTGGGTCATACCGTAAACCGTTTGGAAGAAATTCTGCTTTGTTTTGATTTCAGACTAAAGTTTTCATTTTAAATTCACATAACTTTGACCTTCCGGTAGAACCAGAAGTAAAGGTCAAGCGAGTTTACGACAAAAAAATGCTGATCAATTCATGGTCTATCCGATTATGGAATACAAACCTCATCGATTATTTTGTTCAAGAGTAATAGGTGAAAGTAATTGATCACTTTTGCAGCTGAAATCCCTTGTAATTTGACACCCGATGACGTCATCATGACGTCAGAGTAATATGCACCACTTGGGATGAGGGTCGATATATATTGAAAGTTATAAGTTCATATCATGAACCGTTTAGGAGAAAAGCCGCGGAGAAGTATTGTCCGGAATAAAAAAGAAAGATTTATCAGAACAAAAACAGAGACTGGTCGGATTGTGCCCGACCACTCAATGAGAGAAGTTGCCAAAAGTTACCCAAACAAAAGCCATCAGAAAGATACGAAAGCCCATTAGCGCCACTGCAAGTATATATGTTACAGATTATGTAATTCGTTATTACGGATTATTAATTCGTTATTACGGATTATTAATTCGTTATTACGGATTATTTATTCGTTATTACGGATTATTAATTCGTTATTACGGATTATTTAATTCGTTTCTACGGATAACTAATTCGTTATAACGGATTACTAATTCGTTATTACGGATTATTATTTCGTTATTACGGATTATTTAATTCGTTTCTACGGATAACTAATTCGTTATAACGGATTACTAATTCGTTATTACGGATTATTATTTCGTTATTACGATTATTATTAAATAATCCATTATTACGAATTAGTAATCCGTAATAACGAATTAATAATTCGTAATAACGAATTTATAATCTGTAATAACGAATTAAATAATCCGTAATAACGAATTAAATTATCCGTAATAACGAATTAGTAATCCGTAATAACAAATTAATAATCCGTAATAACGAATTAATAATCCGTAATAACGAATTAAATAATCCATTATAACGAATTAGTAATCCGTAATAACGAATTAATAATCCGTAATAACGAATTAACAATCCGTTATTACGAATTAGTAATCCGTAATAACAAATTAATAATCTGTTATAACGAATTAGTAATCCGTAATAACAAATTAATAATCCGTAATAACAAATTAAATAATCCGCAACATATATACTTGCAGTGGCGCTAATGGGCTTTCGTAGAAAGACAACGGGAAGTCCTCAATCTAGACAAACCTTTGTGGGAGTGTGAAAGTGCAGAGTTTTAGAGGAGGGGACCAACATAATGTTGAAACACTCAAACAGTGCATTGAAACTACAATTGTTTACTAATGCATATATTTTTAGTAATTTCTCCAGGCATACTGTGCTGGTTATCCAGCACCATTGGCTGAGTGTATCTGTCCAGGCAGATGTCACACTCAAGATGGGGGCTGATTTAATTTTTAAACGAAAATTGATTATATAATAGTGTAAAAAACTTTGAAAAATGGATGGTATTTAATTTTTGAACGAACAGATCATACTTGCCTTTCAACTTGATTTTTGCACATATGGATTGGAACTCAAATATTTGAGATCAGTAAGTTTCCCCATGAATCAAATTACTTTGTAGAAACAACTACTGCACAGTCAGCAGTCTAAAGCAAACTGCAATTCCTCTGGTCTTGAGGCTACTCATTCAATAAATATCAGTTAATATAATCAGCTCACCTCACCTCACAACTGCAGATATTTCCTTTAAAATTCCAACAAATTCCTCCAAGTCAAGTTGTTCACTCTGATTTCACCCTTCCTTACCATAGGCGACTATGTAGTGGACGAGGAAATAACACACTAAACACCCTCAACACAGATATTCACTGCTTTACACCAAGCTGGCATTGCTGGTATGTTTGCCGCACCCATGCATACCTCATCAACCAACTGAAAAAGAGTTTTTCAATCCATTGTGGTGTATTCAAATTGGTCCCTTTACAAAACTTGAGTGACCTGCTTCAGAGTTCAATTTGAGGTATGGAGTGCCTTTGCTCGTGCGGTGAAATGGCTTGCAGTTTGATAAAAAGGCCCCAGATAAAAACAGAGATTAAAACTTTCTTGTTTTTGCGCATACAGTTTTGATTTTGGTATCACATGAAAGAATAAATTCTGAGGAACAAACTTTGCACATAACACCTTTGATTTTAATCACTCCTTGAGAGTGAAAAGTTAGGTTGAAAAAAGAGAGTTTGTTTCCTGCTCTAGTGATTTCCGCCTGACTGAGCAAACAATTTGGTTCTGTGGAGTGCCAATTCAACGGTATCTATAGGTATCCCTAGTTCACGTTCAGGGCACCAAATACTGGAGTCACAGACTCCTGTGTTAGAATTGACTCAATAGTTAATTGAGTTTTTTTTGTCTGGCATTCCTCACTAAACAATTTCATAATTTACATGTATATGTGTGTTGTAAAATGCTTCCGCTTTTGAATTACATTCAGTTTTCATTGCACTTCCGGTAATACCGGAAGTGAAGGTCAGGCGGTTTTGTGTTTGGGAACAAGAAATGTTTCTCACGGCATAGTCTACAACCTCACGAAAAAACGAACACGATACTCTATTTAGTTCAAAAGATATAGCGCAAACTATTTTGTCAAAATTTGCCCTGAAATCGCTTGTAATTTGATCCCTGATGACGTCATGGTGACGTAACAAAATTTAAAACATCTTCGTAGCATGGTACAAGTTCACAATAGGTTTCTGGGTCATACCGTAAACCGTTTGGAAGAAATTCTGCTTTGTTTTGATTTCAGACTAAAGTTTTCATTTTAAATTCACATAACTTTGACCTTCCGGTAGAACCAGAAGTAAAGGTCAAGCGAGTTTACGACAAAAAAATGCTGATCAATTCATGGTCTATCCGATTATGGAATACAAACCTCATCGATTATTTTGTTCAAGAGTAATAGGTGAAAGTAATTGATCACTTTTGCAGCTGAAATCCCTTGTAATTTGACACCCGATGACGTCATCATGACGTCAGAGTAATATGCACCACTTGGGATGAGGGTCGATATATATTGAAAGTTATAAGTTCATATCATGAACCGTTTAGGAGAAAAGCCGCGGAGAAGTATTGTCCGGAATAAAAAAGAAAGATTTATCAGAACAAAAACAGAGACTGGTCGGATTGTGCCCGACCACTCAATGAGAGAAGTTGCCAAAAGTTACCCAAACAAAAGCCATCAGAAAGATACGAAAGCCCATTAGCGCCACTGCAAGTATATATGTTACAGATTATGTAATTCGTTATTACGGATTATTAATTCGTTATTACGGATTATTAATTCGTTATTACGGATTATTTATTCGTTATTACGGATTATTAATTCGTTATTACGGATTATTTAATTCGTTTCTACGGATAACTAATTCGTTATAACGGATTACTAATTCGTTATTACGGATTATTATTTCGTTATTACGGATTATTTAATTCGTTTCTACGGATAACTAATTCGTTATAACGGATTACTAATTCGTTATTACGGATTATTATTTCGTTATTACGATTATTATTAAATAATCCGTTATTACGAATTAGTAATCCGTAATAACGAATTAATAATTCGTAATAACGAATTTATAATCCGTA